GTGTAGTAGGTGACTTAAAGGTGACTAAACTGGTGGGCCAAAATATGGACACAAGGAAATTATCGTTTGTTTCCTTCAAAATAGAAGTGCCAAGTCGTTATTTCGACATTGTTATGGACACTTCCATTTGGCCAACGGGAGTCAAAACCAAAGAGTTTGTGGAAAATTCATTGACTAGCAATAAAAAACCTAAGTCTATTCCACCTCCCAAACGAACTGCTAATAATTCTAAAAACAAGAAGCACGCCTCGTTCAAGCCACCAATTCATGGTCGAAATCGACCAAAGCCACAACAAAGGCAAACAATATAATCGGAAATTCCACCGATTGCCAATTTGTTGCCACTGCTGTCGCAGTGCCTATTCAGTCCACTGATGGGATTGTACAGTCAGCCCCAACAGAACCGTCGCAAGTAGTCAACTCAATTCACGCTCTCTCTCCTCAATCGACTTTAGTGTGCAATGATATATATTATCAAAATGTTCGTGGCTTGCGCACCAAGTCAAAAGAATTTTTCTGCAATTCGTCGGCATTTGCACATTCGATTGTTGTTTTAACGGAAACATGGTTGAATCAGTCTCATTATTCGTCAGAATTCTTTGACAATTCATACCATGTTTACCGTAAGGATCGTTTTGAGACTGGTTCATCGTTAAGTCGATTTAATATTCACGAACGATTTCACGAATGTCGAAGTTTCTTGCCCGCCTCCTTTATCTGTCATTGATGAACAATATCATCCACCAATTCTCTTGACGTATGAATGGCACATGAATAACGCAACGCAAGGGCAAATTCAAACTCGAAACTTCCTCAAGGCCGACTACATTGCAATGAATAGGTACTTTGCCGACGTCGATTTCTCTCGTCATTTTTCAAATAAGACCCTTGACCAAAAAGTCGACATTTTGCACCAAGTTATTAATGAAGCGATCGATATGTACGTACCTATTCAAACGAAAAAGATTCAATCGAAATGTCCGTGGAACAACAAGCAACTCCAACCTCTCAAGAACAAAAGGAACAAAGAGTGGAAGAGATCGAAGTCATCGAACGATGACTCAGACTATTTGTTTGCGCTTGATAATTACACCAAACTTAACACGGAACTGTATAACTCGTATGTCGACAAAATGACTTATTCACTGAAGTCCGACCCTACATCGTTCTGGCGTTTTGTCAATACGAAGAAAAACAGTAATTGTGACCCAAAATTGTTACATTTTGGTAATAAATCTTCGGTTGATAAAAGGGAACAAGCTGAAATGTTTGCTTCTTTTTTCAAAAGCAACTTTGTAAACCAGCCGTGTCAAAGTCAATCGGTAGCACAAACATCAACTCAAACAAACTCTAACGTTAACCAATTCATTCTTAACGAATTTTTTGTTTTCGACGAGTTGCTTAAAATAAACTCAAAGAAAGGCGTTGGACCGGATGGGATACATCCTATCCTTCTCAAAAATTGTGCCGCCCTACTATATGCGCCTCTAGCGATAATATTCAATGAATCGCTTTCCACTGGACACTTTCCTACGAGTTGGAAACGTTACAGCGTTGGACCAATTTTTAAAAAGGGATCTCGCTCTAACGTTGAAAATTATCGGTGCATTGCCAAATTGCCAACAATCGCTAAATTTTTCGAATACTTGATTAATTTGGAGATCAGCAAGATGGTAGCCGATAAAATCGTGCCACAACAATATGGTTTTATGAAAGGCCGCTCGACTTCGATGAATCTTTTGGAATTCCTGCACTTTTCACTCAAGGCAGTGAACGATGATAAGCAGGTAGATGTACTTTACACAGACTTCAGTAAGGCATTTGACATTGTTGATCATTCGATTCTGATTTCAAAACTTCAAAATTTCAATCTACCACCAAACTTAATCGATTGGATCAAATCGTATTTGTCAAATCGTCGTCAATTTGTGAAATATGGGCAAATGGAATCAAGTGAGTTTGTTGTTAACTCAGGGGTGCCTCAAGGTAGTCACTTGGGCCCCACCCTATTTCTACTTTTCATCAACGATATTGTAAATTCCATTGATGACGACGACATTTTTATCTCTCTGTTTGCTGATGATTTGAAATTGGCAACTTCAATCACTGACACCAATGACACTATCAAACTTCAAGTGGCAATTGATAAATTAAAGAACTGGTGCGAAGCAAACAAACTTTACCTAAATCTCGACAAATGCTCTGTTATGTCGATATCGAAAAGGAGAGAGAAAATCATGTGCTCCTACTCATATGGCAGTCACAATTTTAAGAGAGTAAGCGAACAAAGAGACTTGGGAGTAATTTTTGACAGCAAATTTAACTTCATCAAACACATCGATTCAATCGTGGCCAAAGCAACATCAGCGCTCGGATTCGTAAAGAGATTCTGCTACGATATTCCTGATGTCAATACTCTCAAGTCATTATACTGCGCCCTCGTACAACCAATCTTGGAGTATGGCAGTTTAGTATGGCAGTTTAGTATGGCTACCGTACCATGGAATTCACAAGAACAAAATTGAATCTTGCCTTCGTCAATTCTCAATGTTTGCACTCAAGGAGTATCCAAACATCTCGAATGACTACAAAATATCATCGTACAACGCTCGCCTGGGCAAACTAAACATGCAATCACTCCAAAGGCGCCGTATAAACGCATCAATTTTATTCATATTCGACTTGATGCAAAATAATGTTCACTGCCCATCACTGAAGACTGAAATGGCCCGCAATCAAAATGAACGTAACTTGAGAAGCGTCGAGTACTTCAAAATCAATGACAAATTCTTCCGTATCAATCCATCCGTTCCACTCAACCAAATGTGCAAAATGTCAAATAGGGTCCACGAACTATTTTCAATGCAATTAAAGAGATCAACTTTCAAAAATCGACTTTTAGCCTTAAGCGATGATCACTTTTCAAACTTGTCATTGGTGTCCAATTATAACACTGTTTTCTTAACCGAGCAAATGTGATACATTGTGATTTATTTTTTATATAGATATAGTATTTAAAATTATATTTATTTATTAGTTTCCGACTCATCGTATCCGCGTGCAATTTGAAAATATTAACTATTTATAAGTGTTTTTTGATGTTTGACGGGATAACTTTTGGCTATTACAGTAAGACGTAGCTAATTGTTTAATTGTTTATTTATTCATTTATTCATTTATATGTTATAAAGATGTAATTTTAACTTTGGCCATGGGGGGCGTAGTGACCACTGCGAATTCGGCGGCCCCATTCGGTCCATTTACCTTTACCGTGCAGCCTGGGATGGTGGCTGAGTGTTCATTCGATCTACTGACCCGGGCTGGTGCAGCCTGGGATGGTGGCTGAGTGTTCATTCGATCTACTGACCCGGGCTGGTGGACCGTGTGGGTGACCGTTAGAATATCGTATGTGGTCGTAAGATTATTATTGAAAAGATGTGGTTTTTAACGGTGATCAGATGTTTACCATGGTATATCACTGATTCATACCTTTTTCCCACCAACAAATGTATAAAAAATTGTAAAAACTCAAATGATTCAGCCAGTTTTGGCGGTGAATAAAGATATATAAAGATATACCCCGATTCCTTTCAAGTCGCTGTCTTATATGGAATCGCAGGTTGAAAATTCCTTCATATCTTGAATCTGGGGACTATAAGACATGTTTTCCTAAGTGGCCATCAAATTGTGCCAAAAATGTTCCACCCTAATAACCACGGAAACCGCCTAGCTGAAATATATGTGTAGCACAATATTGCCGTCTTTCTCATTCCGAAGCCGCATTATGTGGTTTCTTTGCAAAATAGAAAATGTGAAAAGTTTCGCATTTGTACAACAAAAACTCTGTGAGTGCGTAGATCAATTCACCATGTGTGCTGATGACTACCTTCTAAAAATCAGGCTAAGCTTGTCAGCGACCAGTTTTTGTTACATCTTTCTTTTTGAACAAGTAAATTCGGTGCACACTTTTTCTGCTCTTCTAAATGACACTGTGGATGTATGGAAATAGATTCAAAACGAATCACACGTATGAAAAACTCCTATTTTGAATGTTTGTCACAAATTGTGTAATACATAGTACTAACAACACATATATCCATACTTAATGTAGACGTGAAAAGACATAAAACTTGATGACAACACTTTTGTTTATATTATGGCATTTTGATTTATTACGGACATTAGGGTTTCTTACAGTCATTTCAAAGAACCATGTCAATTTTTCATATAGCGAGTGAGCCAGCAGTTTTTGACTGAGAGTTTGTCTAACCCTACATTTGTCATAACTGAGCAGGGTGCGTTTAACTCTCAAACGGCACATTTGCATCGCATGCAGTATCGTAAATAAGAATTACAATAAATAAATTGAAATGGAAATATTAAAAACGATGATAATACAAAAAAAGTATTAATCATTCAGAATAATTGGAATAATAAAAATAAAATAAAATAATTTTTATATTTATATCATTTGATTTTTCGGGTGAATCCTTCTATCGTGAATTAAACGTACGTTGTTTTGTTATGATAGCCGCAGGGCTTGACAAATTTGCAAGCAATGACAGCTGGCTCACTTTTTGGCATTGTTCTTTCTATCGACCTGCACCAACAATGCTTTCTCCATTCTGACTGTACAGTTGAAAATATCTCTTCTTCTATCTCACTCTGCCATTTTTTCACTGTGGTATATATACTTGAATTTGGCGTTGAAGAGCTAAGTTATGTTGTATGACGGAGAATGCTTTGGCCTTTCAATACAAGTACTAGTTTTTGAAAATAATTACATTTTTACCTTAAAGTTTAAGGCTTAAACCACAAATTGTATATTCAACATTTGAAATACATAAAAACCGGATTTAGACCTTCATTGCCTTTGTCAATCAATAAGCCTTCGTTTTTTGTAACTTGTTAATTTAACAATAATTCATCCATGCGTTGAAAATTTTGCATAATTCGAACAATTTATTAAACATTAATTTTCTTTTTCATTTCTTCGTCTTCGTAGAACGGTTGATCGGTTGTGGTCGATAACAGAGGACCTAAATATATTGTATAAGGAAAATTGGACTAGACTTGCAGCCCAGGAAGTTCAACAATTTCAGGTAAGTGATGCCACTAATTCACCATTTTCACATAACTTTATCTTAAGCTAATTGAATTTTTGTTTGCTCAATGTAAACATATTTTTTAAAATTGTTACGACTCGAACTGCATGGTAGGCTATACTCTGTGCAAGCTGGAATTGAATTTTTGAGTTCATTCTTGGTTCGGATAACTGTAAAAATAAGTGTATACTCTATATATATGTTGACAGATTGTTTAAGAAGACAAAAAAAGTTTTTTTTTGTTATTTCAGTTGATAACAAGAGAAAAGTTTGCTCAAGAACATAAGTGGCTTTAGGATTTGTTTTTTTTTCTACGTATTATTCCATCAATCGAAATTGATTCTAAATAAGTAAACACACATACCACTTTCGAAGCAGTTAATACCTTAGAAAGCCTTCGTGATTTTACCAATTCTTATTTCGATTAAAGTTTCGCCAAATGCCAGTTGAAAGAGGTTTCATAAAATTGTTCGAAAAATGGCAAAATAAGAGTGGAAAAAGTTTTTATTACAGAGTAATCATTAGTTTTCATTGCGTTTGTTTTCAAAGTTATAGTGTTTGAAAAGTTATTTAACGGTAGTAAAGTTGCCACAGTATTTACTCATATTCAATGTAATGTAAATGAAGATAATGCCAATCGGGTATCAAATGGGAATCGGTTTTGGATTCTTTCTTGTATACCGTGTTTACCTTTCCCTTTATTTCATCTCCTAATAGCTAAAACGAATTATGTATTTAATTTTCTTTGGGAAATTTTCGTAACAATCATCAAAAACTTTCAAATACAATTCATTCGTTTGTAATTCTCTATAAGTGACTTATTGCGTTTTTAAGTAACAAAATTTACATTTATTATTAAAATCAATAAATATTCAGTCATGTCTTCCATGGATTTTGTTGAATATTTTGACATATTCATAATATATGAGATAATTAGCGTCTGTGACCAAATGTGCAGTTACGTAGAAATGATTTATTTAAAAGTAAAATGTTATTGGAAAATATTTATATTTTTTTTATTTATAAAAGCTCATTTTCACCAAAGAAATAACAATAACAAGAATTATCGCTAGGGGCTTAATACGGCAAAAAAATTCACAGGAATTCACGTAAATTCACACTTTTGAATCGAGTGGTTATTGATGAGTTCGGTGAATTCGTGTGAATAGAATGAAATGTGTCAAATTAATAAAGTGAGGTTATGATAACCGCAATATTTTTTAATTTATTATTTCTTCAATATTTCCGATTGTTTTCGATAGAAAATCGCTCAAAATTGAAAATGAAATTAATTTTTATTAAAAAAATATAAAAAACATTTACAATTTTGTTACACAAAATATAAATATTGCCAGCAGAAACTATTCACCACTATCTCACATATTTGAATGAAATCGCCATAGAATTCACCGGAATTCATTCGTTTGCAGGCAAATTCAGTTAATTTAGATATTATTATAGAATTCAGTCGTTGAAAATTTTGAATTAAGCCCCTAGAATTATCGTTAGCTCAACACCAATAGCATTGAAATCTATTTACAAAGGCACTCTTGCGAATCTCAAGCTGAGTTCTAATAGGATTTTTTTTTTGGTTTTTCAAATGCGGTTTTTGGATGCCTATAAAAAAATTAAACAAATAAACGTTACTGCACCTGTGAAAACTCACAATGTCATACCATTGAACGCACCCGTATTAACGCGATCACAAAAAAATCATAGTTGTTACATCTTAAACGACTATAACCACACGATGCACCTTATTATATGTGCATGTATTGGTCGAGCATCCCTGCCATCTACTATGTTCTTTCAGAGCAAATCGATTAAATAAAGTTTGTAGAAAATGCAATGCCGTAAAAGTAACAACCATATTCAAAACTTTTAAATGCGATGCTGCAGCCAAATTAATAACCAGCAAATTTCATTTATGTTCGTCAGTAGTCTTTCTTTCTCTCTCAAGTAATTTGAGAATTGTGAGTTTCTACTTCAGAAGAATTTTAAGGTTAGTTTAATCACATTCAAAGAAAATTATATGCAACTTTTGCTCTTTCCTATAAATTTCACTTGGAATGAGGATAAGGAAGAAAATTGACGCATTCTCAACTTTTTTGTTTTAGTTTGAAATGATACGATTTGCTTGCTTTTTTCTTTCATATAAAAATGAATTTAAGCAGAATTTTATAATGATGTTGCTTTCAAGCCATTTTGAATGAAAAATGTTCTCGACAGATTTCTTTTACAACACACTGTCGAAATCACGCCCATAAAACAGCAACGATCAAAAAAGTTGTGAGAAAAAACATTTTTGTTATGTACATCATGGTTGCACAATCTGCTTTGTTTGTGATTGTTCTCTATCCATGTGACAAAGACGCACAACTTTTGGAATGATGATCAAAAATTATTCCATTGTTATACCACTTTTATGCGATGCATGTGCTTCTCTCTTTTCGACAGTTAATCTTCTTAGGCCTGAACGTGCTATCACAACTTTGTGGTTTTGGGCATGTGTTCAAGAAAAAATGCATATGAGCAATATTATGAAGCGAACATGTTGATGGCACAAATTTTGGAGTTGTATATTTACTTATTTCATGCTTACTATTTTTACAACACTCCAAAAGTAGCAAAAAAAGGCAAAGGGTTTTTTCGTTGCTGTTTCGTTTGATCTGTTCGCAGTCAATTCCAGTGTGGAAATAAATTTAAAAAAAGAAAAGCACGGAATAAAGCAAGAGAAATTATGTAAAGATTCACTGACAAAACTAAGGTTATGATTTTGACAACACCGTGTTGTAAATGCTTACATTCCAACGAATGTTGTGAAGTAGCCAACAATTGTTGTCATTGTGAATACGTACAATGGCATATATTATATGTATTCACAACGACAACAATTGTTGGCTACTTCACAACATTTGTTGGAATGTAAGCATTTACAACACGGTGTTGTCAAAATCATAACCTTAGTTTTGTCAGTGTTGTTGATTTATTCATGATTTTCATAAGATCCGTATAAGAGCGGAAATCGAATACTGAGGAGAACACTCCATGTACGCACAGCATAATATATTTTCATTACTTGCTTTTTTTCATCGATTATTTGCATCTTTTTGTTGATATTCTTTCGTTTATTCTCTCTATTTACAATGCAGGATATGCTTTTGCGCTCTGTACGAGCGACGAAAATTCAACAGACTGGCATCCAACCATCAATAAAACCGCATAAATGGACATATGCATCGGCATTTTTATATTCAATCACATTGATAACTACAATTGGTAAGTACTTCTACTTTGTAATTTGTAACCTTTAAATGTATGAGATCTTTTACATACGACGTTAGTTTCAATAAATTATTAGCAATAAAATATAAATCACTAGTAATAAAAGTTATATAAGACACCAGTCTTTTAAATAAATGTAATAAGCGATATCAACACTTCACACAGAAAGAAAAAATGTGGTATTTTTGATTCAAGTTTGGTAGATTTAATATAAAATCAACCAACAACGAATTAAATTTACCCAATGAGAGGATGTGAAGACTTCAAGTCTCTTTGAGCCGACGGTGGCGCACCGAATTTCAAAGGGGACGTCAATGTAATTTTACAACTCAAATTGAAACTAAACAGAGCGCCAATTTTAAAATTTGCTGTCATTTCCTCCCATTGAATTTACCATTTTTGACATCTCTGAGACATATTTTTCAAAAGTGACTATTTGTTGAATAAGTTTTATCAGCTGCTTCATTACATTTACCAACTTTCCGAAACCACAGGTGACGCTAGCGCATCAATTTGGTGAATGTAATGAAGCAATTGGTAAAACTCATTCAACAGACTCATTCAATTGATTGCAGGTGTCTATAAATAAATATTACAACTGGCAAATTGCCAGAAAATCCAAAATAAAATATATTTGTTATTTTTGTTCTAGACTTTGGATTTCTCCAAAACGAATTATATTTTATACGATTCTTGGACGTCATTCTGAATTCACTTCCGAGAAATTTCTACACAATATTTTGATACTGTTATCCAGGAAAAAGTTCCGATACAGATATTTAAAACTCATTTACAAACAATTATTTGGGCAATCAAAAGTTTGAACGTTAAATTGTCAGGCTTTTTTAGGATCTTTTCAATGATTTCTGCAAATATGTTCATACTTTTATTGCAATGTGGTGCGTATCCCATGCGACTTTAGTGAAATTAAAAATTTCGACTCCACGTTTTATAATGATTGATCACTGCACATTCAAACACATTTTCATTTGATGTTGTAAGAGTTTTTTGTCAGCATTCAGATGACACAAATTCCCAAAGAGCGTTATAACAAATTCAAATGTAAATATGTATTTCAACTCATTTCAGTTTTGAATGCTCAAATCCATTCATTGTTGGTATATATGCGATCGTTAACCAGTGTTTGGTAAAGATATCTTATCTCGTTTGAGATAGTAAGATAAGATAAGATAGATACTATCTTTTATCTTATCTAGATGATTTTAGAAACTTAAAAAATCATCTTATCTTTTGGCTTTTTTTGGTATCTTATCTTTATTTTTTAAGATAAATAATAAGATATTTTGGTCATTTATTTAAAAAAAATTCATCAATTGTCGGTATGATTAATTTGTTCATTGCACGCCCATTGAAATCAACCCGAGTGAAAAATGGCATTGAATTTTTCAATGCGTAGTGTCAAACGGCATTTAAGCAATAAATCGACACCGCATGGCTATAGCGATGTGGTGTATGCACTCAACGTGCGCACGGACCATGCGGTCTCGATTTATTGCTTAAATGCCGTTTGACACTACGCATTAAAAAATTCAATGCCATTTTTCACTCGGGAAGTTGATTGCATTCGAGAAATTTCGAGAAATTCACCTTCGTATTGCATAAATGGCATAAACTCGAAACGCTTTGAAAAAGGTGCTTCCACCATCCGTAACAATATGTGTTATATTGTGCACTGCCAGATCATATTTTTTAAAGGCGTTTATAAGTATTTTGGTCAAAGCATCGTATGATTTTTGCCATATATCTGTCGAAAAGCTAAAACGAACGATTCCCTCTGATAGGACGATAAATAGTGCACAGTAATGCTTTTAAAACTACGATTTTTCGATAAATTCATCCAATTCCATCGTGTTACGCACGGTGTTCGTAGAACACATCCGACAACTTCAACGCACGATTCATGGGCCCGATTACCCGGACCGATTAATATCCACAGTGCGTGAAGTTTGTTTATAGCAGATATTAATTAACATTCTTTCTTTTCACCTTGACATTTTTCAAAATTTTATTCAAATAATTTTCGTTATCTTATTTTTTTATCTTATCTTTTCGAAAGATATCTTATCTTTTATCAAAAAGATAAGATGAAAATCTTGAAAATATCTAGATGCATTTCGGAAAATTGAGATACTATCTCAAAAGTATCTATATATATACATTTCAGATATCTTAACCAAACACTGTCGTTAACTACTAGCAATAGCGGCAATGAGTTGGGTCGGTGAAAATACACTAGTTTAAGTTCGAACGCATAGCACAATACGCACACATTCTTGAACAAACTCATATACACACAGAGAATCAGAAACTGTTCCAACCGCATTGAATTTTGTGCGAAGTAAGTAAACAAAAACTTGAAAGGGAATTGAGTCACGAGGGCCAACGAACCAGGGAATGTCCCACAGACAACGTCAGAGTATTAAAGCTCCAAACACAAAGCCAACACTCAAAAGCCATTTACACCGAGTAGAAAATTCGTAGGATAAAGGGGCATTTTGTGTGTTGTACGTATGTGATATGGGATCACTGCGTACATTTCTGCATCCATGCAATTATCTAAACTTTAAATACAAAAAACCGTTCCTTTTATGCAGTGCAGTAAATAAAAAAAAAGAAAAATCCATGTCGAATCGACAAAATAAAAAGAAACGGAGAAGAGTGTAGAGAGAAAAATTCAACCGCATGCACATATTCAAACACTAGAAAAGAATAGAAAAGTCATTTTTTCTATTTTTTTAATATTTTTGCTATGTGCTATGCCATGCATTTGTACGCAACTTGTCTCCAATCCAACTAAAATGAAAGGCTGTATTCATTCTCGACTGAATGAAGAATTACTGTCAATTGTGCTTAGTCTTAAACAGCGTTCATTTCCTATTCACATTCACCGCGAATCACTCATAGTTTTTCACTGTTTGTAATTTATATATGATGACAAAAAATGTAACATAAACGCTCAAATTAACTACTTTATTCTATTCATTTCTGCTTCAAATAAAAAGTTTGCGATGCATTAAAGCTCTTTCCAACATTGGCCTACTATACATTTTTGTTTATTTAGTCCATTCTGGTTGTGCCGCATCATTCACAATAAAAAAAGATGCATGCAAGGAGTTTTTTTATTTTGTAAACAATCTAGTTTGAATTTTTTCCTGCTTGTGAGTTTTCTTTTTAATTTTCTTCACTGCTCTATGAACACAGACATATAGTAAACGCCCGCAAGGATTTTTTATCGTGTGACACATGCTGTTTAGCTCGCCCGACCGTCGTTGAATTCCTTCCTTATCTTGTCATTTGTTTTCGATTGGCGCGTTTCCGTTCTACGCCTTTTGTTTACGGTAATTGGTATATGTTTATTCAGTCACACGCTCGTATAGATAAATGAAATTGTTTGCCGAGAACATTGGTACTTTCGAACTTTGCTGTTATAACAGCCATTGTTGTATTGCTCTACTGGAGGTGCATACAGTTTAATCATCGCATTGCAATCTGAAAAGTAAATAATAATAAAACTATTGACAAATCACTATATATTTCGTGCATGCGTGTGTATTATGTTGCACAACATTGTTTAAATTTTTCTTGGGCTCAAATTGGTTCAAATAATACCAAATATGGAAGAATAAAGCTTTTACTTATGTTACTTTTTATTTAATTAGACTCGAATTTGCAGTTTGTTTTTACCATAAATTGTTTCGCTTGTAAGAACCACTAGCAGTGTTGCTGAAGTCTATGGTTGAATTTCAAGTCGCAAAGAAATCTTTGGTAAAAAATTGAGAATCATTTATGCGTGAGCTGAAATTGCTGATATAAAATGTCCATCTTTCATTTCTTCAGCTTTCGACTCTCATAGTGCATCAAACTCAATCAATTGTGGCACTTTTATTCTATAAAGAAGAGAAGAAGTTTGTCTTTTTTCTTTTATCTCATCAACAGAATGTGAGTCATGCAATTGTGCAAAATCTGTAGGTAGTCATTATGTTGATACTTGATATTGGATGGTAAAATGCATTTGAGTCTCATTTTTTTTCCTACCGAGGTTAAAAGAAAGATAAAAAATATTAACATTCAATACATTCGTGTTTGTAAAAAATAGCAGTGGGTTAAAAGGATGGTAGAAAAATAGCCTGTGCCTGACCGCAAATTTGCCAGTCATCAATATTTTTTTCAAATTGATGATCTCCTGCGGATGCTAACGCTTTCATTTCCAATTCTCTAAAGAAGTAAGGAAAAAAAGTATATATATATTAATTAAGAAGTGCATGTTTACATTTCGAATCGAATACCAAGCCAACCTTACTCCGAAGAGATAATCTTCACCGAAATAAGCTTACAAAATTGCAAAAATTGGTACTTTGAAAGCTTTTCACTTCACATTTAAGCTTCGATTTATACGAAATGTGGAGATATGAAGTCCTTATCTGTTTTTTGGTGAATGAATACGCGTTACGTTCACCATTTCCATTCGAATATACAATTTTACCCAATTATACAGCTTATCAGAGGTCTGTATCTTTGTAATTATACAATGCATTGAATGAAAATGATGAGAGCGTAGAGCCAATCATTTGACCGACTTAACTGAATAAATACTTTGCATCATCCGTATTTAAACTACTTTGTAAAAGTGAATGTCGAATAATGCATCGCTGATTGAACAAGCATCAAAAACATTTATTAAAGCATCCTTCATCATCATAAAACTTTGAGCTAAAAGCCGAACGATACAATTTTTGTTCAAACTTCGTTCAACAAATATGTCGGAAGGGTTGAAAAAACACAAACAATTTTCCTACTCCAATGAATGCAATAGAGTAGAGAATATATGCACAGAAAACCAATTTCAAACTGCCCGGCAACTGACTCTGCAAGTGACAGTAAAAAAATAGAAACATTGAATGGCTTCAGCAAGATGTAAAACATCAAACAAATCAACTAAAATGAACATTGTTTATATGTATTACATTGAATTT